CTCCCTCTCCCACTCCCCCTGCTTGTGTTCCCTCTCTTGCTGTGTCTCTCTCTGTCAAATAAATAAATAAAATCTTAAAAAAAAATCCCATTGCTATACTTCCACATGAAGACACATGGTCCTACAGGTTATCTGGGGAGACTGACTTACCTTGTGCACTACCACCTTGTGCACACAGCTTGAGTTCCACAATTAAGTATGACAGAAGAAATACAATAATGTATTTTGAGAAATAAAAATGAGATATAATGAGAAATAGTTTAAGGCTCAGGAAATACTTAGACTCACTCTTTGTCCATATGGAGTTACTTATCAAATGATTACTACTAGAATTAGGTACTCTAGGTCAGTGTGTTTGAATAATAACCTGTTCAAGGATTATGCAGCCAGTTAAGTAGAAGAGAACATCACTTCAGCTAAACTAAAACTGAAAATTTGAAAATAGAGATTTTATCTGAACCCTGGTATAAAAGGGACACTTCTTGTCCCTGTTGAATGGGACAGATAGGCTTTGGCTCATATTCTTTAGTCAGTTCTACTTCTTGGGTGAGCAATGAGTAGATCAAATTATTTTTCTTGTACTGGAATATAATCATCATGCTTAATCATTTCCAGACTAATATCCTCCAACTGTTTCAACAGTTTCTCATACGACATGGTTTTCAGTCTCCTCAGGTGAGGAAAATGGCATTTATTAGGGTCTGTCTTAAAGCTCACAGCTCAAAAGCAAGCTGGATGCTCCAGATGAGGACACTGCTCAGTGAAGTTTTGTTAATCTCAGCATTGCATGTCTGTAGAGCAAGCTAAGATTGTGTTGGCTATTTTTAGGAGCCAGAGACACAAGTGGCTCCCATAAAAACTGTAAGCAACGATGAGAAACTGAAACCACTGACCATTTGTACATTAATGTTGTTAAATATATATTGCCCCCTCCAGTGCCAGATAGATAGATAGATGATAGAAATCATCTCGTCTGTTTCTATCAGGTAATCCAACAGAAACATTTTCAATTTTGGTAATGTCACTAAATTTATCTATAATGCCTAAAAGACCGTGTCATCTACAAACCTGATAAGCAGGCTTTCTGGGATTAGTAACCCTAGAAAAAGAGAGAACATCATTTAAGTCGGATGACTTGTTTTTAGTGAACCCATGAGGTGTCCTAGTGATCACTACATTCTTTTCAAAATACTCACCTTATGCTCTCTGTTTATTAGCCTTCACTGGAGATTAATAGTATAATAATCTATAGTTGCTTGAGTTTATCTTCGCCTCAATTTTAGAAATAAGGATCAAGATTGCTTATCTCTGACAACCTAGTATGTTCCTAGGCAAAATGACTGTGAAATATATATATATATATATATATATATATATATATATATATATATATATACACACACACCAACAGTGAATCTAAGATCATATCTTCAAACTCTTTTTAAGATCCAACAATTCTTCTATTTTAAATTTGACTTATTTAAACAACTAAGCACTTTCCCACTGTCTGATCTTTTATGTGAATGATGAAGAGTCTCTTCCTTCCTAAAGTTCATTCTCTTATTTAGACAAAATGGAAGCAATGAAGAATAGGTAGTTCTTGCTTTCTCATTGTAATTTTGTATCTTATGCTTATCTATCCTGGAAATGAGCCTATCACATCTTTTTTGTTATCCTTGCTCCAATTATCTTTGCAAAAATATTTCTTAAAATTTTTAACATTTTTCAAAACAACAACCCATTTAAGGTCTTAGACTTTCTGGCATTATTTTTAAATGTTTATTCTTCTTTTTTTCAGAATCCTTACTCAGTTATGCACCTTTTCTGTGCTCTTTTTATGTGCATCTCCTTTCAAAAGGTTGATTTATTATGTATCTACTTATATTCCCACAGAAATGTTTACTTTTCACCTGCATTAGGATCATCTGTAATTGTATGGTCAGGATTTGCTTTTTGAAAGTCTCTTATCCATTCTTAGATAATCTCTCTTTTCAGAATCTTTGAACATGGAAATGAATCTTTCTTTCTTCTAAACTTTTCTGATATCTTCTTTAGAAAAGGCAAGATTCATATCTGGAGGTACCCAACATTTTCTTTTCTCTCCACTGTGACTTCTAAGTTAATAGAATCATGGGCTCCTGGGGTTCCCACAGATCTAAAGCACCAATATATTTTCCTCTTTGGATAAAATTAATTAAACAGAAGCTCCTATATTCCTTCATAGAAATGTCATTTTAAGGTATATAGGACATAGACAATCCAAGTACTCTGCTTTTAGTGAACTGAACTTACAGTAGATGTCTTCACATTAAAGCCTTCAATTACTATTCTATCCTCCAGAACCAATTTACAGTTTGTAATGGAAAACATCACTTGTAACTGTATCTATCCAAAGCAGGTGTTTGAACTGGTTCTTCAAGAATGTATGCCATTGTCACTTCTCTAAATGTCCCCAGTTCCCCTGTTGTATACTATCATTCATTACTAGAATTTTTAGTTTGACCATAATAAATGAAAGATAAACTGGGATGTTCTAGCATTCATTTGCTTGTAGAATACAACTGCTGAGAAGTTACTGTGCCCATTTCAAATCACAATCGGAATCGTGTGATAGTCACTGAATTATTGTACCCTGTGGTTTCTCTGAATCATGGAGAGCCCAGCTCAAGTCATATGGTCTGCAGTGGCCTTGATTCCTGAGTGAACTGCTAATGTAGCATAACATGACACAGATCCATCTTTCTGGTGGCATGTGGAGCCCAGCCCCATAACATCAAAGCAGAAACCTCTGGCAGACCCAGCAACAGCCAAATCTTACCAATTCCTTACCTTCTGAAGCAAAATTGGAGAACTAATCATCCCCTTCACACAAGATTCATTCACTTATTCTGTATGTGGATGATTTTTTAAAGCCTTTGAAATGTACATGTGATTATTTCCAAGATCATTTTAATGCAAGAAAATAAAACTCATTAATAGGTAAATAAGTTTTAAAAATTATTGAAATTTCATATTTTATAGCCTACACTGTACATGACACAATTCCAAATTTCTTAGTTTTAACAGTGGCTCACTGCCTATTTAGCATGCTGGAAAACTGACTCCAGTCAATACATATAGGCAACTGAGTTGCAGGATAAAAATATAGCAATTAGAAACTATAAAGTACCTATTAGATCATGCAGTTCACCCTTTCCCATTGCCAATTCATAAAGAAAAGCAAAATATAGAGTAGAGAAAATACAATGCACCATTCTCTACTAAAAGCCTATGTATAAATATTAAACTCTCTAGCTGAAAAAAAAAAATTCAGAGGGCAATCTAATGTTCTCATTTTAAAATGCCATTTAATAATGGTTCTTCCCCCTAGTGTATAGAACTTTGAAATACCACAAACATGAATATTGTTGTGATGACAGTAATTCAAAATATAGATATCTAGAAACATGGTGCATATTTACGTGCTTATGTATATTACATACACATGATGAACATTAGTACATAATGTGCTTATATACAGTATATTTGCCATTTACATCAACTGTTCTAAATGGGAGTCACAGAGATTGGACTATTTGATATTTACTGTTCCTCACCTCAAACTCACCTCAAAAAGCGCTTTATTTATTTGGTTTTCAGAGCAGTCCATCAAGATCCCGCTCAAGAATTATGATGCCCCAGAAGCCATTACAACACCCTCTACCCACCAGCTTGGCTGTCAAATGTATTTCTGAATCTCAACAATCAATCCATACTTCCATGTCAAAATGAAAGGCCTTTTCAAGTTTTTTTTTCTTATCCTAAACTTGTTGATATATCCCCTAATATTAGTAGCATTAACTTCAAAAATAATAAGCAACACTTGAGTAGTCATTATACATTGACCATAATGACTACCGTTTCATCTATGAAAAATCAAAACGTGGTCTCTACACCACAGCAATTTTGCATTCATTTCAAAAGGCTAGTTCCTATAAGCAGCACACTAAGTACGGTTTTTAAACTTTTGCTAAACAAGGGAATGTTCAATGTGCCAACAGAATAATAATAGAAGTTTCATGAAAAGATTTTAAAAAGGAGAATCCATGGAAAATCACCAATCCACAAAGGTATACAGTAAGAGAGGGAAAAAGTAACAATAAAACTATGAAACAGCCAGAAAGCAATTAAGAAAATGGCATTAGTAAGTCCTTACATATCTATAATTACTTTAAATGTAAATGGAATGAATTATCCAATCAAAAGTCACAGAGTGGCTGGATAGATTTGAAAAACAAGCAAACAACAACAACAACAAGACCCAACTATATGTTGCCTAAAAGAGACTGACTTCAGCTTTAAGGACACATCTAGGCCCAAACTGACAGAATGGAAAAAGATATTCCATGCAAGTGGAAACCAAAAGAAAATAGGGGTAGCTGTACCTATACCAGACAAAATAAACTAAACCAACAATGGTAACACAAAAAAGAAGGTCATTATATAATGATAAAGGGGTCAAGTCATCAGGAAGATATAATAATTGTACATATATACACAACCAATGTTGGAGCACCTAAATATGTTACACAAGTACTAATACAAACAGGAGACGGGTGTTTGGGTGGCTCAGTTGGTTGATGGTCCCACTCTTGATTTCAGCTCAGGTTGTGATCTCATGGGTCATGAGATTGAGCCCTGAGTCACGCTCCGCACTCCGCGGGAGTTTGCTTGAAGATTCTCTTCCTCTTCCCCTCCCCCAACTCATGTGCACACATTTGCACTCTCTCTCTAAAATAAATAAGTAAATCTTAAAAAAAGAAAAAGAAATGGGAGAAACAGACAACAACACAATAATAGTAGGGAATTTCAATATTGTTTTTGCATTTTTTTGCATTTGCATTATTTTTTTTGCATTTGCATTAATTTTTCAGCATTAGACATAATCACTCAGACAGAAAAGCAAAAAAACAACATTGGACAAAGCTGGAGTCATTGTACTATCTGATATCCTTTTTTAAAAAAATATGGAATGCTTCATGAATTTGCGTGTCATCTTTGTGCAGGGGTCATGCTAATTTCTGTACTGTTCCAATTTTAGCATATGTGCTGCCAAAGCAAGCACTACACTTCCGGACTGCAAACTGTATTACAAAGCTATAGTAATCAGAAACAGTGTGGTACTGGCATAAAATTAGGCAGAGACCAATGGAACAGAATAAAGAGCTCAGAAATAAATTCTCACATATACAGTCAACTAATATTTAACAGGGAAGCCAAGAATACTCAATGCGGGAAGGCTAGTCTCTTCAATAAATGGCGGTGGGAAAACTGGATAATTATATGCAAAGGAATGCAATTAGAGCCTGATCTTACAACAATTACAAAAATCAACACAAAATAAAGACTTAAACATGACACTTGAAACCATATAACTCCTAGAAGTAAAGATAAGGAGGGAAAAATCCCCTTGACATTGATCTTGGCAGTATTTTTTTGGATATGACACCAAAAGCACAAGCAACCAAATCCAGTATCAACAAGTGGGACTATGACAAACTAAAAAAGTTTTTTCACAGCAAAAGAAACAAATAACAAAATGAAAAAACAAACTACAGAATGAAAGAAAATTTTTGTAAATGATACACTTGCAAACCATATATCTAATAGAAAGTAAATATCCAAAATATATAAAGAATTCACACAACTCAGTAACAAAAAAAGCAATCCAATTAAAAATGGGCCTTCTTTTCCAAAGAAGACATCCAAATGACAATAAGTACATGAAAAGATGTTCAACATCACTAATCACCAGGGAAATACAAACCAAAACCACAATGAGATAGCACTTCACATCTGTTAGAATGGCTATCATCAAGAATACAAAAGATAGGGGTGCCTGGGTGGCTTAGTAGGTTAAGAGCCTGCCTTTGGCTCTGGTCATGATCCCAGGAGTCTGGGATTGAGCCCTGCGTCAGGCTCCCTGCTCGGCGGGGAGTCTGCTTCTCCCTCTCCCTCTGTCTGCAGCTCCCCTTTCTTGTGCTCTCTCTCTCTCTCTCACTCACTCTCTCTCAAATAAATAAATAAAGTCTTAAAAAAAAAGAACACAAAAGATAAGTATTGGTGAGGATGTGGAGAAATGGCATTGTTGGTGGGAATGCAAATTGGTGCAGTTACTATAAAAAAAACAGTATGGCGGTGCTCAAAAATATTAAATATAAATATATATAATATTAAACATAAAAATAAAACCACCATATTATCCAACAACCCAGCTTCTGGGTATATATATACAAAGGAAATGAAAATAGGATAATGAAAAGATATCTGCCCTCCCATGTTTGCTGCTGAATTATTCAAGCTAAGTGTCCATCAACAGATTATAAAGATGTCACACACATACACACATATAAATATTATTCAATCACGAGAAAAAAGAAAATCCTGTCATTTGCAACAACATGGATGGACCTTAAGGGCATTATGCTAAGTCAGATAAATGAGACAAAGAAACCAATACTCTACAATATCATCTGTATGTGGGATCAAAAAAAAAAAAAAAACCTGAAATTTCAAGAACAGAGTAGAGTGGTGGTTACCAGGGGCTGGAGGGTGGGGAATGGGGGAACTGGGGAGATGTTGGTCAAAGGGTACAAACTTGTAGGAAGATGAGTAAGTTCTGGGGATCTAATGCACAGCAATGTGACTATAGTTAACTATACTGTATTATAGACTTGAAAGTTCCTAAAAGACTAGATCTTAAAAAGAAATGGAAATTATGTGACCTGATGGAGGTGTTAGGTAATGCTATGGTGGCAATGATATTGCAATATATAAGTATATCAAAACAACACATTGCACAAAAATTATATCTCAGTTATATCAAAAGAAAGAAACAAACTAACTAACAGTAGGTAGGAAGCCAAGGGTCTAGAAAATAGCCTAGAGTGACAGTGGGGGTAGGTTACTGGGATGATGAGACTCAAGGATGCTATGTTGATATAGGTACACAGCAGTCTGGGTCAAGGATACTGACTTGGAAGGCTCTTCTTTCCTTCCTTCTCCAAGACCAGAAGGGAATGAGTATTGGTTCAGTCTGGGATTAGAACAGGGATCCTTAATGTGGTGTCCACTAAGGGATCTTGGCTAGAATTCTGGGATTCTGTCAACTTAAGTGAGAAAATAATATATTTTTATTTTCACTAATATCAAATTGAAATTTATCATTATCTTCAATTACTGAATGTAGGCAACAGACTATGGTAGTATTAGCACTACCTGTGACTTTGTTGCCAGTAAAAATTAATTTTATTTCACAGTATACTTATTGTAGGTATTTCAAACATTGGTCATGCTCCTCACCACTCTGGAATTATGGAAGTTATTAGGCCCTCTGATAAAGGGGACCAAATGTTGTTTAATGTCGTAATAAAGAAAAACATATATTCCTGCCACATTTTAAAAACACTTTGATAATTATTATTTCAATATCTTTGATTTCCTTTGTCATCCATTTTGTTTTATTTTATACATTTAAAAATACTATTCTGAGGGGCACCTGGGTGGCTCAGATGGTTAAGTGTCTGCCTTCAGCTCAGGTCATGATCCCGGGGTCCTGGGATTGAGCGCCACATCGGGCTCCCTGCTCAGCGAGAGTCTGTTTCTCCCTCTCCCTCTGCCATTCCCTCCACTTGTGCTCCCTGGCTCTATCTCTCTGTCAAATAAATAAAAATTAAATCTTTAAAAAAATAAAATGAAATAAAAATACTATTCTGAGAAGCAATTCATTGGCTTCAAAAGATTGCCAAAATAGCCCTTGGACAAAAAAGGTAACAAACTCTGGGTTACATGGTGTGGGAGGGACAGACAGATGAATAAGAGTGACTCTTCCCCTCTGAGCCTAGGGGAAGAGGTTTTGGTCAAGGAGAAAAGTGAGAGGATGCTCTTGGAGGTGCTACGACCCAAGAGTTGGACTTAAGACCACCCATTACTGTTGCAGTCAATTCCTGAGTGGTCCTCAGGCCTGCCTGGAAAATGGACTTGAGTCCCAGGATAAAAAGTAAGGAGGTTTTATGGTGGTAGTTTTATATATATAAATGAGGGAATCATGTTTTATTAGGAAAATAACTTTTCACCTGAGTAAATACGAAAATTTATATGAAAATAATAACTATTCAAATAATGCTGACTTGGGGCGCCTGGGTGGCTCAGTTGGTTAAGTGACTGCCTTCGGCTCAGGTCATGATCCTGGAGTCCCGGGATCGAGTCCCACATTGGGCTCCCTGCT